GCCTCACATGAAGGAAAGAAGCTAAAGACCCGTCGGATCTTTTCGGTACACTTATGTAGTTACTGAATGGTATAGAAGTATTGCTAATGAAGAAAGAATATACTAAGGCATCTGAGCAGTTAGGGTGAAAATAAACCCAGATGTTTTTGGTGTGCTTTTAGCCGGGATGGGCCAAGCTGCAGACCAAGGTCCTGGTGAGTCCTATGCAGTAGTCACTGCTCATCCCAGGCTCTAAACATACAATTTATGCCAGACAACCTTTCTGCTCAGTTTGAAGAGCAAACTTCAAATAATTTGGTGAGGTAAAATGGCACACTGAACATTTTTTGAACTGTATTTTTTAGGTCTTGTTTTATAATGACGCTAAAACAAAGGAACTGGATTTTGGGTTTGTTTGTTCAAACAGCTGTAAATCTCTGGCAGCTGAGCGTGCTTGTGTACACGTTCTGAATTGCTGCAGTGGGGCTCCCACAATGGTTGGAACAAATGGTCTCCACTGAAAATGTACGGCATGTACAGTTACCATTATAGAATGAGAGCTGACAAAGCTCAAGAGATGGGCACACTTCCTGTAGGGTTGTGCCTGGAGTCACTTTATACTAGTTTTATGGGAATGATCCTCAGAAGATTTTCTAGTGAGTATTGGTTAGTGGTTGGGCTCTGCCTTGAAGTGTGAACATCTTGGATACTTATAATTTGTCATATGCAATGTAGCATCTAAAGTTTTATTCACGTAAATGTTCTTCCCTCTTCTTCATGGAAATAAATGGTCTTCCCTCTGCAGCTATTTGCTTCTGTTCTGTTGTGAGAAGAAAAAATATAGAAATAAAATATTGAGCCTTTTTGAGGACAAAACAAAAAAAAGGATACGGTATCCTAGTCTGTATGAGAAATGGTGTGACCGGCAGGAGCCGGGAGGTGATTGTGCCCCTGGACTCGGCACTGATGGGACTGCACCTTGAGCCCTGTGTCCAGTTTTGGGCACCACAGGATAAGAAGGACATGGAGGTGCTGGAGCAGGTCCAGAGAAGGGCAATGAGGCTGGTGAGAGGGCTGGAAAACAGGCCTTGTGAGGAGTGGCTGAGGGAAATGGGGTTGTTTAGTCTGGAGAAGAGGAGACGTAGAGAGCAATGAGGTCTCCTCTCAAACTACCTTAAAAGGAGGTTGTAGCGAGGCTGGTGTTGGTTTCTTCTCCCAAATTACTGATGACAGGATGAGAGGAAATGGCCTCAAGTTGCACCAGAGGAGGTTTGGTAGGAAGAATTTCTTCACTGAGAAAGTGGTTAGAGTCATCATCCCTGGAGGCGCTCAAAAAATTAGTAGATGGAGCACTTGAGGTTATGGTCTAGAGGTTTGGGAAATGTTGTTATGGGGGTCGGATTTGATCTTAGAGATCCTTTCCAACCTTAGTGATTCTATGATTTAGTACTTGTAAAATTGTTCTGGTTAAACCAGAGTAACCAATACAGGTTAACCAGAATGTCTGGAGCAGTGGAGTAATTGTGTTTTAGCGCACAGTTTGGGGCCACTGAAGTAGGCCTGGGGTTCAGCTCCATGTTCATTAGGGCATTCTGAGCATAAAGGGCATCCTTTCTGATGCTCCAGAAAGTGAACATCTGCAAGGCTAAGGACTTGCCTTGTCAATGACACCATAGAGTGCTCTAAGGTGTGTGCATCTCAGAAGTTACATTGCTCCCTTAAATGACAGTCTGCGGATGAAGAGAGATGCATTTGCATTGACCTTTAATGTAGAGGAGCAGTGATTTAAGACAGAGTGTCTTCTGGATTGAGTGAGAAGAGGACCTCATTTTACTAACAGTTCAGAGAAGATCATGTTGTGAGTCATTTGAAATTATATGTCTATTCATTATTGACTGTATGGGGCATCACTGAATCTTCCAGCCAGCAGCTCAGTATATGAAGAAACTTGCAATTAGCTGCCTGCTGACAGGTCCTGTACAATGCTTTAGCAGACTTCAGGTTTTAAACACAGTTTTAAAAATCCAGCTTATTGTTTCTCTTCTATATTTTCAAGTTGTCATTGTGATAGCTTGGACAGAACATGTTAGAAGACCAGTATCCTGACTGTTCTGTAGCTGGGGGAAGGCTAATGCAGACCACAGAGGACCAGTGGATATGCTTTCTGTGTTCACTTCTGAACTGGAGAACTGCTACATGATGAATCAGCCACAGCTTTCATCTTGACCTTTTTGCAGCCTTGGGGTAGAAAACATTGCAGTAATCCATCCTGAAGGTGACACAGGCGTGGACCACAGGGCCAAGATCCTCATTCAAGATGAGAAGGAAGTAGCCGAAGGTGAATCCTGTCTTTCTTAGGCAGGAACATTCTGTGTAAGAGCAGTGATGAAGCCAACAACATGCCAACACAGGGGACTGTCCCTGTAAGCAGGGGGAATTACCTTTG